GAGCCCCGTATAACAAGCCCAAAAGGAAAGAAATTGAAAAAAGAAATCAAAAAAGCGGAAAAGGGGAAAGGAGGCTAAAATGAAGATGATGCGAGCGGTATGGTATGATAAAACATCAAGATCTCATGATTTCTCTTTTTTTTTAACATTATCGCAGCTGCTGGTTTCTTATTTCGTGTCCATGGCTGTCGCTAGATAGATATATATAATAAAATAAATAACAATAATAATAACCTAGCCACTGAATTTGAAGCGGGCCGCTTCCAGCCTACCCAACCCTTCTCGCGGGGCTACATTTCTCCGTCGATACGAGTTTGTGAAATCTGTAAGAGAAGAAGATATATAAATCATTAGACATGATGTGATTAAGGATACGCGAGGATGGCAATTGACAATTATAATAGATATCCCCCCCACCCTTGGCCAAAAGGAAAAAGAAAAGATCAACGAACCTTGTAAAACAACCCTTGTCTTCCGAACATCACCTTGATAAATCCTCTCAGACAACGACTTCATAAGTCGTTCACTTTCACCAGGCTTCACCGTGCCGGGGGGAAGCATGTGCACAGTCGCCTCCACCCAGTTCGCTGTCTCCTGCGGCATCAGTTCAAACAGCGACATCAGTACCCCCGAGGCATCGGGAAAACAGTCGTCTGGGAAACTGAACATCATCCCTGTCAACACTCTCTGGACGAGAATCGCACCCTGTGACGCTATCAATTGCTTCACGGAAGCTTGGACCTCGGGAGGATTGGTAAATGGCTCGCCATCTGGGCCCGCGAATTCAGATATCGATGGCTTGTCGGTCCCAAAGCTAAGCACGTCGCGACAGTAGTGAAGGACTGCTCTTAATGGGTCTACTTGCTGGAGTGTAAGTGCGCTCAGTGAGGCGGAGAAAATGGGTGCTGCTAGGGGGGAGATTAGAGATTTTTTAGGATAATAGCGCACTGCGTCAGTTAGGAGGCGGAAGAAATCTTCGATCACTGTTTTATAACGATACGGTTAGGGTATTATAATACAGCAAACGATGGGAGGGTTATATTCCTTGGGGAGGATTATCTTACTATCAGGGAGGTGATGGGGAGGTAGGTCATTAAGTATTCTAAGGAAAAGCACAACTTGTTGTTCGAAGAATTGGTATACCGCGTCACTTGTCGATTTTTCAACGTACTCCGCCCCTTCAGAGAATTCTCGAATGACGGCATCTGTGGCCCATAGGAAGCAGCCTTCTTTGGATGCTTCGAATCCTGCTGATATGCTTTGCGCCAAGCTTGGCAGGAGAGGAGTCATCGCATTGCGGTAGGATATGATCATATGCCGCCAGCATCGGCATACCCGCTCCAATATTGGGATAGACTTTGTAAAATTCAATACGATGGTATTTAGAACGGGAAGGATCTCTTCGCAGTATGTGACTCCGGGATTTTGGGTTCCGGGGCCGACGTAGGGAGAGACAATTTGGATGAAAATGGTGATCAGCTGGAGGTGATCTGTAAGGGGAGAAAAAAGTCAGTCGTAAGTTCTCATAGTCGTAGAGGTTAACAATGACACAACTAACCTGCAACCGCCTTCTGGCCAGCATCATCTTTAGCCTGGTTGGCGAGATTCATGATTCTATTCATGATGGGATCGCAGAATAATTTTAGCGTTTCATATATTTTATCAACTGGTTGGACAGCAACTACAGCAGCCACCCCCTCCGTAACTTCTTCTTGGCTCGACGGTTTCAGGTTGTCAATGACCGACTCGTAAAAGGAATGTAGCTGTGGAATATGGCCACCAAGAAGTTTCTGACAATCAGTGCCAAGGAACTTGAACGCGAGAGCTGCCGCCTGAACGACCTCCTGGGATTTGTGCTGGAAACCGGAAATGACATAATTCAATTGGGCTTCGAGAGTTTCAGGGTGTTGAGCTGTCCATTCCGTGTATCGACCAAGAGCCATGATAGCCTGGAACCGCACTTTGTCTTGATCGGGTATTTGGACGATGAGAGGGATAATTTGCGGTAGTACCGTGCTCTCTTCGGGATCGACCATCCGTCCCATCGCTCTCATACTAAAGAGTGGCGCTTCTAGCTCTTGCCAATGTGGTACATGATCATGTGTAGCTTGCGAAGCGTATTTGGCGACCCACGCTTGAATCAGGCTATATGATTTCCCGAGGCATTCGGTAACGCCAATAACAGCACAGCAATCTTTAAGAACATCACCCATAGCGTGACGGAACTCGCGGAATCTCTCTTCTTGCTCGCGATCTCCATTAAATAGGTCGGCCTGCTCGTCATCCGGGGAAGGGAATTCCAGATGTCTAATCATAATATCAACAAGTTTCGAGAATAAGTCTGCAAGGGCCGTTCTCGCCCCCATATACCGTTCAAGCGTGAGGTACTGTTTAAGCTCGTACCAGAAGACAAAAGTGATGGAAATGGCATCCCGCTCCATATCGACAGCACAGCACTCTAGAACGGTTTCAACTAAACTTCTGAACTCAGCAGGCAAACGGGCAATCAGGACTACCCATGCTTCGCCAGCTTCAGCAAAAAGTCTAGTTAATCCTCTGAGCATGTCAGGGTCCTCTTCCTCTGTGGCCTCTCTAATTTTGGGTCTCAGGGCAATTATCCTTGGATACAGCTTTTGGATAATAGACATTGAGTCATCAACCTCAAGTGTGTCCCTATAGATTGTACATATCGTATCCACAGCAGCTTCGAACGAGCGGGGATCAGAAAGACCCTTGAAAATTATGTCCAGAAGGGGAGAGTTGACGATTTGGGAAGATGGAATTTCACGCATCCAGGAGGTAATGCATTCCAGTAGCTGTGGATTTGTTGCGGCAGATTCTATTTAATCGAGTGTCTGGTCAGCGGCTATACGGGACAAAGTGACGAAAAGGTGTAGGGGTAACGGATGTAAACATGTTTCTTACCAGAAGACTGCGCATATTGCACTAGGAGACTTAAAACTTGATCCGCGTTGTTTTCCAATAGTTCTGCTGTCCTTGTAGAAAGTTCCTCTTCCTAAGTGTTTTGATGATGGATTAGATTCTAGACTATGGCCGAAAGGGAGAGATGTCGTAGCTGAATATGTTCTTGCTGCGCAATAAAGGCGGAGATTGATTGGATGGATTTAGATGGTAACTCGGCCGCACATACAGTCAGGTTGATTTTTCGTCCTTCTGTGACCTCCTCGGGCAGAATTTTGAGAAATTCCAAAACACAGTCTCCTCCCTCACTTCCCACAGCTGAGCCGACGGTTGCGAGGACATCCTTCCATGCTGTCATCTGGATAGCGAGGCTAGCTAAACAAACACACAGCTGGGTCCTTATCGGTTTTGGCCCCGAGCTATAAGCGACTAGAAGGGAGAGAACGGAGTCTCTCAGAGCCGCCAAGGACTCACCCGGGAGTTGATCTAGGTCATAGGTGATCTATTGGAAAAATTATCGATCAGCGGGGTTGTGTAGAGCGCAAAAGTAATGCTGGAATGTAAAGACCATGGTCATACTTTTCCCTTCAGCGTGGTAGCTGCGAAGAGCTTTGCTTCAACGGGTATCTCTGAGGATTGTAATAACGCATGCGTTGTTGTCCAAGCTTCGACCTAAGTAATGATGGGTTGGAGTCAGAACGAGGTAAGTTCGGGCGTTTACCTGAAAAGTGAGTCCGGGAAGGAGGATATTCTCACTGATTTCTGGAATTTCTCTAGGAATTCATGCGCATGGGTCTTTTCTGATCGAGCGACATTGCCTTGCATTGTAGCAACGGCAGCTAGGACAGGCGCAAAGGCCTGTCCCGCGCCGTTCTCTTTGGATGCCATAGTGGGATGTGGGCGATTTAAGTGAAGGTCGGGTAGCAATGTGAAGGATCGATGTACACGCTGGATCAGGTCAGCCAGGCTGAGAGGATGGATAGCGACTGGGAAAACTCATGAATCAAGCCAGCTCAAAACAAGGAAATCAGTAATGGTGGATATATCATAAAAGAAACGGGGTTGGGCGGTGGTTCACAGTGGTTGTTGTGGTGAGGGCAGAAAAAATGACTTTGGCAGACGACAGGGACACTGGAGCAGATTTTAGCCGCATCGGCATGCATCACCAGAACAACCGCCTGGGGAGTTAAATATCACACAGCAACAACCACCGAACATTCTACTCTTCCACTCACTCGATCACTACCTCAGCGTCTTCCCGACATTTACTCTCTCCTCGCGCAACTTAAATACTCCCTCTCTCAGCCATCGGTTGACAACATATCTAATATTACCGCGCAATCCCTCCAGTTTCACGCACTATGACAGGCAGAGGTGGAGGTGCAGGTCGAAAGACCCTTCTGGCTCCAATCCATTTCATTTTCAAACTCCTACAGCAGAGATCCGTTGTCTCAATATGGCTCTATGAACAGCTGGCGATCCGGATAGAAGGGAAAATTCGGGTTCGTTTTCACTATTTGCTCTTTTGCCGTGCATACTCAATTTTCCCCCATGTTCTATTTTATAACATATCGCCATTGAAAAAGAGGCTAACACTTATTCATCTTTGTACAAAAGGGATTCGACGAGTTTATGAACCTGGTCGTCGATGACGCGGTCGAAGTTCGTTTGGCAACGAAAACAGAGGAGGAAAAACGCAGACAACTTGGTATGATAGTTCACGATTACCCATTCGTTGAGGCGCTCGCTTCGTTATCTACACAACGCTTACCTACCGCGCAGGTCAAATTTTACTCAAAGGCGACAACGTTTCGTTGATCCAGGCACTTCAATGAAATTGCAAAGCGGATGGTCGAGTTATACGGTGACTTTGGGACAGAACAGGCGTTAGGATGTTTATTTACTGCTATCTGATTCACACACAAAAAAGAAGTTGATGCAGTTGGGGCATGGTCTTATGGCGACATTGAAAAGAAATGAATTCTACTGTTTTTGCTGGCTGCTTGAAGTGAGAATGCGCCCGTTTCCAACGATGAGGGAATCCACGGAACAGTCGTGATCAGCGACTGGTATCTTCTTCCCAGAGGGAAGAAGCTGCTCGGTAAGGGCCAAGGCGACTAAAATGAGCCAGAGTGAGAAAGCAATAGTGTCAGTAATATTGATGACCAAGAATACTTTTTTTTAAGATGTTCATTTCCTGTTGAGTTGGATAGCTTCCTTACCGAGATGTGGTCTCCGCATGCCTGCTTTATTTTCTTCTCCACCATTTTGCCTATTACCCTTCAATCGATTGATGAAATGGTCATAATACCCCTTGCCGTGTCCCAATCTTTGCAACTGTTCGTCAAAAGCTAGCCCGGGCATAACAACCAAATCCAATCCTGAACTTTCGTTGACGGTTGCGGGTGACTCTGATTCTGTCATCGTGCTACCTGATTGAGTGGTTACTCCAGCGGGGATACCGTACCCACCCAAACAATTCCTCCGACTACTAATTGTATTCGCATCTAGTGTCGGGATACCCCATTTATCGGCTTGTAGGGATTCATAGTCTTCAAGGGAGCGTAGCGCTAGCATTTCCATGACTGAAGAACGACCCTGTGTTGGCGCTGCGGCTGGGTCCGATTGGTAGAGATAAGGGACGTATACTTGCTTGCCTCTGCTAAAAGCATCACGAACAATTTCGATTGTCGAGATTTCACCAGATGGCATTGAGAGATAGACACTGAGCTTTTTGGCTGCGTGGTATTCAGGGAGTGCCAGTAGATTTGTCGTGACGATCGATGCTGGTATATAATAACCAAGTTATGTACCACAGCAAATGAAAGGCGGGGGGCTAGGTGCTAGCGGGGTTACTGACATTGTGCCATTACGGACTCTTTGGATACTTCTGAGAGTATTCTCCGAAGCTTTTTTCGTAGTTCTTTCTTGGCTGTTTGCAGAGTAGCCATGGCGATATGTACGTATATATATAACGATACTCGAGTAGGTTAATACGACGGTTAAGTGGAATGTCTGCGCTCTGGGGAGGAGTAGAAATCGGGAGAATATCTCTTCGGGTTCTTTTTACTTACAATATACTGTGTAACGGGGGATTCGACTGTCTGAGTACTATCTATATAAAATACTCAGCTGCGTCTAATATTTGTTGTGATGAAGCAATATCTCCGGCGCGATCACTGGACAGAGATCAAATTGTCGAAAAAATAGCCGCAGAATACGAATCTGGTCTTGGCCTTCCCACTAAAGAACAGCACTAGTTAACTGATGAACACTCCGAAATAGCCGCTATCGGGTGTTTATCGCAGATGATATCAGTGGCGGATATGCTGTTGGATATGCATATAAAAGTCAATGTTCTTGGATTCACTTGCGATGACGTTGTACCATCAAGTATATTAACCCCTTTGTGGTGTAAATGGTTTCTCCGTTTAAATCTAAAAACGAGCAGGTTCATTGTTATTTATGCAGCATATCGGTCAGGTATGTTGTTAAATAATGGTCAAAATATGGCGTACGTGAACCAGTACCCTAGAACTTGCCGCGAGAACAAACTTTCGACAGCATCATGAACTCTTCCCTCCTCGTTCCGCTTCTCCACGCAAAGCTACATAAATACACACGTCGCAACCAACTCTCCAGCCCAATCCAATATCTTTGCCTCTGCTTCTTAGTGTTTCACTCTCCACTTCCCCAATTCGCCAGTCTCCCATCCCCATGTTCCAACCTCGCGGGCAGCCATGGAAACCATGATGTTGGCTGCGTTGCCTCTACTATTCCTCTCCTCCTGCTTTCCTGCCTTCGTCGTTGCTCAAGGTCCGGCGGATCCGCGACTAACAGGCACTTGGACGACCAAGTCCATGAAGGTCTTTACAGGCAGCGTACGTGCATTGCTATCATATATGTTTGGGATTTCGCGAAGGAAACAAGGGAAAAGAAACAGAACTCTCTGCTGACGATTTACGGCCGTTGTTTTTTGGTAAAACGCTGCAGGCATTTTACGATCCAATAAAAGATCGATTGAAGGAGCCGTTGCTTACAGGAATCTCATACTCATTCACCGCAGATGGGTTCTACGAAGAGGCATATTTTCGAGCGATTTCTAATCGTCAGTCACCACATCTCCGTGTATCCCATCATCCAGCAGAGCTGACATTATTTCTGTTGTATCTTATTAGCTACCAGACCAGAATGCCCTTCAGGGATAATGCAATTTCAACACGGAACCTATAGAGTAGAACCCAATGGGTCTATGATCCTGACCCCGTTTGACTCAGATGGTCGCCAATTGATCTCCAACCGTTGTGCTGGAAAATATGCGGAGTATACGCGATATACTCAAAAAGAGGTGTTCCAGGTAAAGAAGGGAAATCCCAAAGATAGAAAATAGAAATAGAAAGTTGAAAATTTTCATAAACGGAAGACTTGCTAACGATCGAACTTCAGAGATACGAAATCCTAATAGATTCGTATAATCGAGTCGAACGCCTTAATATGTTCCAATTTGATGGCTCACCTTTGAACCCCATGTATCTCGCGTTTCGACAACCGCAGATGCACCCGACGCACACGCTGAATCCGACACATACCACCAAAGGAGCTCCTAGAGCAACAGCGATTAGCGAACGGAAAGTTAACGCGAAGAGGGCAAAACGCTCTGAAGAAAAAGCAGCAGAATTTGGGTTCGCCCAATCGCCGTTAAGCAAGAACTCATTCGTCAAGAGGATGAACTACTATCATTCGAGAATGGAAAAGCTGTCGGGCACAGATAAATTGTGGTGGGTAGGGTTAATTATGACGTCTGTTGGCAGCCTCGCCCTGATCTATAGATGAAGATGATTTGTGCTATACCGTTTTTTCGTGTTGTTCCTCGTTTTCTGTCTTTCATGTTCCCTTGGTTCTATATTGTTTCTTATAGCGCCTAATGCCCATGCTGTGTCTTTTCTCTCCTTGATTTCTTTCTGCGTTGTTATTATGCTGGCTTGCTGAAGGGCTGTCTTGGGTTATACAAGGCGTTTGTGACTGGTAAAACGGGGCACCAGCTTTGTATTTCACATCTGTATGTATGGACAGGGCATATGTGGTGTAACTTCATTGTCTCTAAACTGCGCGTCTAATAATACAACTAGCTAAAGCGGGGGTGGATGGCGTAGTGGTAAGCGCTGTTCATGGAATGCTTTCTCAAGTAGGCACTTGGTGTTGGGGCCACCTCTGCTGAGACAAGAAGGTAGTGGGTTCGAATCCCACCTTCTCCAAAAAGGATATTATCACATCTTGGTGGATATTGCTGTTGGGCACTAGTTGCCCAGGCGGCCCTCCACCGCACGTGATTACCCCTATATAGTTAGCTAGCGATCGCACAATGAGAAGATGAACCATCCCACAATTGAGGGTACCCTTTCTTATCTCATTTCTATTGGTAACTGCCACTGCAGAGTGGAGCAATGTTCAACACTATGTATATAGTCTAGATGGATTCAGTATAGTGTGGGATCCTAAGGTGTTGTGATTCTTACATGTTTACTCCGTAGTCCAAGCGACAAGGGACTGCTTAGTATTGCATGAGCAATTGTGGGGCAAGGCCACCCTTGAGGGCTAGATCCAGAATGGTATAGTGAAGTCTCTCCAGACTCAGTTATGAATAGAGAAATGTAACTAGAGAGTAGCTGAACATAAGGGTAGGCTAGTGAGGTGAAGGCTGTCATAGTCTCAGACTGCATATGGCCTTAGAAAACATATGAAGAAAAAAAAAAAAAAAAAAAAAACAACTAGCTAAATAAATCGAGGATTGATCGCGTGTCGATTGGTTCGCTTACTTCGCAGACATTATGCATTTATTTTTCTCCGGCCAGAGGTCAAAATTGTAACCTACATGGGAAAGGGAAAATCTATCATTCATATCATCATCGTAAATAAGGGGCAACTTCCATCCTGGGGAGGGCCAAAATAATCAAAATACAACCACGCAGTCGTGCCATCTTCCAGTGCTCTCGCCGTTTCACACGCCCTGGTTGAGTTGAGCAAATGGCGAGTCATACTGTATGCCTATTTCCGCGTTCAACCAATCCCCCTAACTCTAGAGAATAAAGGAGTGGAGCGGAGAAAGAAAACAAAACGCCGTAAAAATTCCCAATAATAATAATTATAATGCAAAACACGATCTCTCATTTCCACTACAATTCCCTCCACTCCCTAAGATATCAGCTCCTTTCGCGATCTTTGAGACCTGCCCTACTTGAAACTGGCTTTCCTTCCAACGAACCTCCACGTCCCACAAGTGCCTTTATGACAAGTCCTATAACAGGCTTTTGCCCAGAATCCTGCATCTTCTTAATAGCCCTCGAGACAGCAGCTCGGACTTCCTCAACGCTCATCGTTTCCACCTGGCTAGCATATCCTTTCAGAACTGCTAGTTCATTATCAGCGCTCTCGCTCAGGTCAGTTCGTCCTGCGTCCATGTATTCGCCTTTAGCATCTTTTAACGCAGCCGTGCGCTTGTTTATTAGGTTTAGGAGTTGGATATCGGTTTTAATGGGCGACGACGTCTTTGCGGCATTGTTTGTTTCTGATATTATTGCGCGGAGGACGTTCAGTCTGTTCACATAGAGTTAATGTAGGAGGACCGGAGATTGTAATTTCAGCTATTCACGCACCTGGCGGTGTCCTTCGCCCTCAAGGCATCCTTCAGGTCTGATTTAATTTTATAGAGTAATGGGGGAGCTGTTGGGGTAGCTGTAGAGTTGTGCCGGACGCGTTGAAGGCACTGCTGGGGCCTGGGTCTGACTGATCGGAACATTTGTTTGGATTATGTAGAGAAATATGTAGGGAATCAGATATACTATGTTATAATCTGAATGTCAGCATATATATAGTGCAATTGAGGAGAATTATCTGAGATAACAGGAGCACTGGTTGAGAGTGCTTTTGGGTCGAGGAGTTGATTGGTCTGTGCACGCTCCCTTGTCTTTTTGTGTTTTTGAGCTTGTGTTGAATCAACCGTTTAAAGGCGTCTCTCCACGCAGCTGGCCTTACACGTCTCCCACGAGGTAACTAGCATAATTTGTCTTTCGCTTTTGCTGCCGCTATTCTGTCTTATTTGCAGTGTCACATCTCCTGGCACGCCACCCTTTTCCCAGAGCAGGGAGGTCATTCTACCAGCTTCATGCGCCGACATATGTTTAAACAATGACCGCCCCCCCTCTTACTCCTCAAAGACCTCTACCAGGCACCTATTTCCAGACTCCAGCTCACCCTAATTTCAATGGGCCTCTCTTTCAATCTTCTACCATGTCTGGTGGCGGCGGCCTACCCACAACTGCCGCCGCACTTCCGCCCCAGCCTCTTCGTGCAAGACTCCCAATGACAACGGTCAAGAGCAGAGCAGAAAACCTGAACCCACGACAACGAGCAGCGCTGACAATAGATGAGGCGTTGGCGCAGGAGTCGCGATACCCAGATTTAGACAGTTATTTATCTCGTATGTACAGACAAAATTACCTGATGTTGTGGGAAATTGCGCTGGCGTAATTCAGAAGGCTAATCACAGAAACGATGTATGTAGAGGGATTTTCCTCCGATTATGATATTCCCACATCGGCATCGTGGGCACCATTTCAAAAAGTTAAGATGTACAATATACCGGACCAAATTTTCGATCAATACAATCGGGCTCAGGTATCGACAAATATGGGCCTTTTTGCAGAACTGAATCATGCTTGGGTTACTATCGACAATGCGCTGTATCTCTGGGAGTATACGCATCCCAACCCGCAGTTGGTGGGATTTGAGAGCCAGCCGAATAGTATAAACGCTGTTAAGTTAGCTCGCCCTCGGCCAGGCGTTTTCCTCCCGTCAATATCACATGTTCTTGTTATCTCTACTACTGCAGAGGTGTTAATCTTGGGCCTGGGATGTGAGACGTCCGCTTCAGGAACAAAGACAGTAACGCTCTATCAAACTGGGATGGCTACATCGATTCGAGGGTTGGACATCAACGTAATTACGTCATCAAACTCGACTGGGAGGATATTTTTTGCGGGGTCTGCCGACAACGACGTATATGAGCTCACATATCAACAAGAAGAGCGATGGTTCCAGGGTCGGTGCGGGAAAGTGAACCATACGAGCAAGAGTTTTGCCGCCTTCACCCCGTCCATCATTCTAAGCCATAAACCGACGGAATTTGTTGAGCAACTGGTGGTTGATGATAGCCGAAACCTGTTATACACCCTTTCCTCGAACTCGTCTATCCGGGTATTCCATCTGAAGCCTGATGGAACTGTCAATCTTACAATTACAAAGCGTGCTATTGACATATACTCAAATCTTGGCCACATTATCAGCTCTAACGAAACGCTCAACCCTGGGGTTAAGATAGTTTCTATCAGTCCTATCCCAGCTGCAGAGGCTTCTAGATATCATCTGATGGCAGTCACCGCGACGGGCTATAGGATATATCTCAGCGCTACCGGGTCATATAGCTGGTCCGCAACTCCGACTGCGACCAATGCTCCGACCAGCATGCAAGCTCACCATGTGAGGACACCACCTTCTGACAACAACCCTGCAAGCCAATTACCCCAAGGACGTGGAGTTGTTGGGTCGCCATATCAGGTCTTGCCGGGAGCAAAACTTGCCATCCACTCACTTGACCCTACTAGATCTGCTCAACGATTCCCTCCTGGTTACTTTTTCTGCTTTACGTCAAAAAACTCCACCAATAAAGCAGACACTCTTTTTATTTCGACTCCAGACTCTGGTCGTCTTTCACGACCTCAAGAGAGCGCACTCCCGATTAAACCTGGCGAAACCGCGATCTGGCTAACGCTTGGCAGTCGAGCAGAAGACATCGGGTTATGCACACCAGAATTCACTGTGCAGCCGCAAGGAGGCTTTGGAAATGAGCTGGCCGTTCAATTCGACAAGCCTGCTGCGGAAATTGCTGTTTTGACCAATACCGGTATTCACGTTATTCGAAGGCGGCGACTAGTGGATATCTTTGCATCACTAATACGGAGCGATAGCGGAGAAGAGGGCCTTGAGACTCAGGTAAAATCACTGATACGATTGTACGGCCGCAGTGAGACGCTCGCGACCGCTTTAGCAGTCGCCTGCGGTCAGGGAGTGGAACTCTCTGCGGATTCTCGCCTTTCTAAGATAAACGACCCTGACGTCCTTGAATTTGCGCGTAAGGTGTTTATTGAGTTTGGCGGCAAGCCGACCTTTAATGAGAATGCAGTTGCCGACAACTCCACTCCTGCGATTGATGCTGTCATCCCCTCACCACGCCATGCTGGTATTGCGCTCTACACTTCGCGCCTCTTGAGATCGATCTGGAAAACGGTGATTGCCAAGCAAAGTCGGACCCCAGCGGGAGGAGTCACCATTTCGCCATCTGTCGATACTTCGAAATTGCATTCAATTCAGAGAGATTTGTCCGCCCTTCAGGATTTCTTCCGGACGAACAAATCCTTTATTGAGGGATTGAGTGGGCCAGAGGCTCTCTCACGAGCTGTTACAAAACAAGACGAGATTGCGCTGCAAGGCGAGCATCGTGCCTTGCATTCCATGGTCCAGCTAGTCTCTGATACAATAGAAGGTATTTCGTTTGTTCTGGTCCTGTTCGATGAACAGGTTCACGAGATCATCGCGCTATTACCTGAGGAAACAAGGCAACGATTTTTAACGCTCACATTCGAGGAGTTGTTCAGTAGCAGCAAGGGCCATGATGTTGCGAAAGAGCTTGTCAAGTCTATTGTTAATCGAAATATTGCTAAAGGCTCTAACGTTGAAACGGTTGCTGAAGCCTTGCGGCGAAGATGTGGCACCTTTTGCAGCGCAGAAGATGTCGTTATTTTCAAAGCTCAAGAACAACTCAAGAGAGCTACTGAAGCCGGTGGGAATTCCGAATTGGGTCGCAATTTGCTTAATGAGAGTTTAATCCTTTTTCGCCAAGTTTCTGAGAATCTGTCCATGGATTATCTCCAATCTGCGGTGGAACCATATATCCAGAACCAATTCCTTTGCCGGTAGGTGCTACCAGTTGATTTCCCGCTAAATGATTGGTGATCTGATTTTCCTATTCTTTTTTTTTTTTTTTCTTTTTTATTCTCATAGGTGCGATACAACTGTGTCTGAGCGTTGCAGCCCATTCTGACAAGGCAAATCGTGCGCTTTCTTGGATTATGGATGGTCGTCCACTAGAGGTATTTCCCCAGGGCTATTTATTTGTTTCTACTTTTGTCTAACTTTCATATGATATAGGATCCCCGACAAGCTAGTTACGAAGTTCGTCAACAGTGCTATGATCTAATCTACAAAATTATTCTCAGAGTCGACGAACTTTCGGGCCAAGATCCTGGTTTTGTGGATGGGCAGTATACTGTTATTGCACGAAGAAAGAATGAAGTTTACGATGTGATCTCAAATTGCGAGGATGAGGTGTTCCTCACCAGCTTGTATGATTGGTACTTAGAGCGAGGTTGGAGCGAACGACTTCTTGAAGTTAAGACTCCTTTCGTCGTGACCTACCTTCAAAGAAAGTCCACCGAAGACCTATCACATGCAGATCTACTATGGAGGTATTACGGACAGTCAAGTCGATTTTACGATGCCGCATCAGTTCAGCTGCAGCTTGCCCAGAGCTCATTTTCACTCCCCCTGAGTAGACGGATTGAGTATCTCGGTCAAGCCAGGGCAAATGCGTCTGTTTTCACGCCAAACGTATCACGAGCATCGAGGCAAAGGTTAATTCAGGAGATTTCGACCTTGATTGATATAGCCAATGTACAGGATGACCTTCTACAGAGGCTTAAGGAAGAAACTAGGATTGCCCCAGAGCGCAAAGCTACAGTTCTGCAAGAGGTAGATGGTGAGATTATGGAGCTCAATAAGGTATGGTTAAAGCCACCAACCCCCAGACATTATAATAAATCTGAGGTTACTAACACAGATTCGTCCATTTTAGCTTTATAATATGTATGCTGACCCTGGTGGCTACTACGATGTTTGTCTTCAAATCATGCATCTCGCCAATTACCGCAACGCTTCCGACATCAAGGCATGCTGGCATAACCTAATCCAAGAAGTCCATGATGAGGCTTCAGCGAAAGGCGAACCGCTCCCCTATGAAGCCGTCATCGAAAAGATCCGAGGCCTCTCCGGCCGCCTCAGGATGTCAGACACTACATTCCCAATCCAGATCCTACTACCAATGCTTCAGCGCTATGTATTGGAACAGCAGCTAGGCGTTGGCCCGGACAGCTGGATCGTAGAACTCTTTCTCGATCTCCAAGTTTCACATGAACTCATCTACACCGTTCTCGAATCGTTGTTCTACAACGACGAAGTGCCTTTCCATGGCAAGAACCGCCGGTATATCGGACGAGATCTGCTATACCTGATCGCCCGCTGGTTCCAGGAATCATTGCGCGTTGGAGCCGGGGCGTTTGGAAGTGATATCTTTGCTTCCCGCGTATCCGAGATGTTGCTGTTATTGCAACAGAGTGGGTTGGATGACGAGTCGGTCCAGGCATGTCGCGATTTGCGGGTTAAAATTGAGCGATCTCTCTAATGGCCTGGCCCAGGAAGACGCTAAAGTGATTCTGTGGTGCAACTGTGGCCCGTTAACTCTTGTAATACATTAACCATGGAAGTGGACATCATCGCGATTCCAACCTGAAAATGGGTGTATACTGCTAGTTAGTGTTCTATGCATAGCTTTTTTGAATTTCAAATCGAAAACCCCTCTGCGTTAGCACGGTTGATTTTGTAAAATCGACTCTCCTTCCCGTTTTTATCATTTACACCTAAGTTAACTCCTGATCTCGCCTCTTGGCTGTGATTTTGTTTCCCCATTTTTTGTAGTTGCTTCCAAAGCCCTCTCTCTCACTTCGTTATTTATTTTATCTTCTTGACTCATATATTGCCCTTGTCCTTGTTTTATTTGTAGCATTCGCTTTTGTCTCCTATTTTTTATCTCTTTTCATTTCTATTGAATAAAGTAGATGATATAAACGACGATAAAGAGATTGAGAGGGAAGGGCTACAAAAGGGACGTGCAAAAATGGCGCAAAGCCAACGAACCAACCTTTTTAATGGAATGCAAGAAGCAAATGCGATTGGATGCTTGTAATAAACAAAATAAAATAAATACAGAAAGACATGTATATACATTCGCCACAACGCCTCGCTCATTGCCTGGTAGAAGTATGGAGCTCGTATGATCGTATATGATGGAGCAAAAAAAGGAAACATATCCCTCCCATAACCGTATGTACGTAGTCCCTCGATTTACGAGCTGACTATGACCCCCATATTTTCTGTAAATATACATACCGTTGCCACCCCAGCGTGCTGCATTATTTCGAGTTGGTCTCGCTATACAGTTGTATTTCATGGCTGTAGCGATTTGCAAGCCGACAATACTGTGTCATCATGGAATTTTTATCCACGAACAGTTCGGTTTCTAAAAACTGGCAGAATTTCGTCAATTGAAGCGAGTGAGTGGCCGAAACAGAGAACAATTGTTGGCCGACACAAAACTCGAGGGCGGTCGGTAGACCCCTGGAGTAGCTGGCTAGCTATATCGTGTCCATAATTCAGGCGGCCAAGCTATGTAATTACTTCCCGCTACATCCATGCACATGTAATGTACAGTTATGATATGAATATTAGCGTCCATTTGCACAAGGACGCTGCTCGGTAAACACTTGTTGGTTGATCTGCATGGGGTCGTCATCATGCTCCTTTGGGGTCATTGACGTCGAAAACTCTACTTTTCCCCTTGAAACCAATTCGAATTCCTCCTCGATTTCCTCGCTAGTATTTATCGAATGATGACCACCACCCTTCGATGCCCAGATGATTTCCTCCGACGATGACCGCCCGTTACCAATTATGGTATTAGACCTCAGTATAGATGAGCTGATTTTTGTAGGACCAGAGGATTGATGTGTTCGATTATCGTGAATGTTACTTTGCGGCAGTGTGCTAATCCCGAACGTGAAATTCTCGATGTGCCTTGGTGGTTCTGGTGAGCCTGAGTTGTTGCTTCGAGTGTGGAAAAAGATTGTGTATTTCATCATCAGCGGTTTCAGCGTCACAGCCGACACGGCTATGATGCTTACCCCTATCTCAACTGTGGACCAAATCATTATCTCAGCGTTGGTGTAAAGAAAATCCAGTTGATCATATCCGTGGTGGATGTATGTAATTCTTGCTATTGTGGCAACGCTTGCTCTGTTGGGAGGAGTTAGAACATTGAGAATTCTGGGATATAGTGTACGACGAACGGGAAACAGAAACTTACATTGCTCCAAAGCCAAGTAGAACCATCGCAGATATCTTTGTACGGGAGTTCATGCTTAATTTCCGTAAAATCAAGGCAGGCACTATTGCAAGTGTTATATCACCCAGGCAAACAATTGAGCCATGTGCGTAGCTTCCAGAGATGACTGCGCGAAAGTGCCGGCACGTCCCTTCGCCATCCGGATTTCGGATCTGCTCCCATAAAAAGTCCACCGGCCAGCAAGTAAACAGGGTGAAGAACCAGTAGAAAGTTGTGAAAATGCCGGTGACTGCGGCTACAATGTATATCGTGTAGACATAAGCTCGTCCGATGACAACTACTCGTAATAATGACAAACAGAAGGAGATCTTCACAATCCCTGAAGACAAAATATAAAAAAGATCGCAAAGGAAAAAACCCTGTGCTAGCTGTTAACGATGTCTTCTAATGAATGTTGCGCCGCGCTGAGGTTTGTATATCCGACCTTGAATGCATCATGACCGTGTTCCGATTGGTTATTGCTTTATCATGTTTCCCAAGTCCATTCGTCGTCGAAATATGAGTGACGAAACAAATGCCGAAAAGAGCAGCTGAAGAGTAATGAGTGGAGAATTAGCTAGGCACAACGAGAGACGAGGCCACTGTTTCCATCCACAGACAACACGGCAATGTATCTGCACATGTACTGCCCAACATACCAAAGTCACGACCATGGTGAGGTCGTCAACACCCCAACGGGTCAGGGTGAGCCGCACATAGCAGCGCAATATAACGATTATCCACGATATGGCTAGAAAAGTACCCGCAACGGCAAAGATGGATTGGCTTTTGTCTTCCATGTCGGCGGCGATCACACACCGCAGAAGCAAAAGGATCAGATGAAACCGCTACTGCGGCGAGCAAGGAAAGATGATTTCACCAAAAACATTTGATATCTCTCCAGTTGCTGCTGGGGAAATGCTGGATATCGATCCACTCTTATGCCATCCTCTACCACCTTGTGGAATTCTCTGGGGGACGCCACCTTTGGAGCGAGCAAACTCCCCTGAATGCTGATACGCTAGCAAGACCTCACCATGGCGTCGGGACTAGCACAGGATTGAGTAACTGGCACAAACTCTATCACGTTGTCTGGCAGTGAACACTGAGCAATGAGCATCGCGTGAAATTTTTATGAAGCTATACTTCTCCGCAAAAAGGCTACCATCTGATTGGCTCAATCACAACTAACAGAAACATTTCTGGTGAAGTTGAGCATCTCGAAAGTCTAACAAAAATGCGCTCGCTTTCGAGACAAGTAGCCCAGCGTTCCTTGAATAGGAATGACGCCTTGGTGATCTAATGACTAGCTCCATTTGAACACGGGCTGGGGTTGACTACTGGGAAGACTAATTGAAACTGCTCCGGGCCTCGAACCGAGAAGCCAAAGATACACCCCGGAGGTGATGGCAGTTGGAGGGCCGCGCGACAATTTTTCTGTGTGCAGGACTCGAATCCTTCAGGCCATTGAGATTGAGATTATGGTTCCACTCCAATAAAAAAGAACTTCACAGAAAAATAGTAACAAGCTCAAGCAGAGCAGTTCATCGGCACCCTACGGGGCCAGTATTTTATAAACACTTCAAAATTCAAAATTCTCCGTTAACAGACCCAGTCAGCTCAAGGTTTGTGGCCCACCAACTCCGCTTTTTGGCTGGCGAAATGTGGACGCAGAGTCAATAAAAAGCTTCCAAAATGTTCGAGGATACCTTACTCTCGGAACACTCTACTCGAAATATTATAAGAGAAAACAGGCTGTTCTTTTCTCTTAAATTAAGGACGATTCCGGCTCCAGTCACAACTGTCATCAGTGTAGGCCGCAAACTCGCGTTCAAGCTCAACAAAGACACATTCATGTAGCTGTACTGCGTGACATCTCGCGAAGTTAAAGATCGTTAAGGTGCAGTTCCCAGGGTCGTTCTCCGCAAGGGCAACTTGAGACCAGCTGTGGCTGGTTCAGCATCCATTCACGTTCATGGGCTACATCTAACTCTGCGAAACCAGGCAATACGGCGTACAGACGAAACAGACGAAACTCCGAAAGCCGACTCGATCGCCTTGGAATTGCCTGAAAAACTGGGGTTTCAAGATCTTGAAATTCCTCGGAGTCAGGCGAAAATGCTATTGGTTGAGGTCGAGTTCCTTAGTTGAACCTGGAGCACTTTCAGACCCCGAGGCCTAGGATAAATCGAGGCAACTGAGGCCCAGCAGCGCCAGCCGCCATGGCTCCGGGCAGGCATGGTTTCAGCACTAAAAGGGACAATTTCCCTCTAGTGGACTGCTAAACTCGAGAGTGGAGCCTATAAAAATAAAAATACCAAGCCGGCCTCAAAACGTCAAACCCCGGAGCTCAAACGGTGCCAGCAGAAGGTATTTTTACATTTTTTATATCAACGCAGTAGATGTATTTTGATAAGTGTGTGGTCCAACAAGAAGAAAGAGCCCTGAAAAATATTTGACTTGCTCCAACTTCATGCGCCCTGTAATCTCCACAATTGGTGGTGAACGCCAAACAACCAACAAACCCTCTACTGACGTCAAAATAAATCAGCTCGCCTGGCACAGTTTGTAACTCTTCGTCTTTGGGCTCCCAGAAACACAGTCTGACTTCGGTACTACCGTGTTAATGAAAAACGAGTTATATGGGCTCATATGACAGGGTTTAGATACTTGCATTTTTCCCACTATGGAGGATGCACATACTCGTGTCCAAGAATACCTATTCAGAACCAGGGAAGACTGAATCATTCAAGAACCTTTATTAAACGCCATATCTGGCTTTTCTCGTCAAGTTATCAGAGGTGTTCAATAACTATTGACAATAGGACCAATTCTCCACACAAGATGCCGCAGGATACCCGAACACAAACTACATATGTTTACCGCGGGAAAGAAGCTCTTAGCAATGGTGTATCCTCATTCCGAAGTTTGACCCGTTGAATCTTCTCTCTGCCACTCGCCGCCACTGTTGGCTATGGGACGGTTATCCGTGGTGCTAGGCATATCCGAGCCGCGAGTCACGCGGCACATGGTCCACAATGTCTAATGGTGCCATTCCCATATAATTCATGTGGAATAGCAGCCTTCTTTATATGCAGTAGTATATAGGCTACCCGATACATGCATGAATCATACTTGTGTGAATCGAACCACGCATGAGTTCCTGCATTTGCCATTGTGGCCCAGATGGCGTGGAAGTTTCTTCCATTGAAGATGGAGTTTTCCTGCCGACATATTTCCAATCAGCCTCTGTCGAATCAGGTGGAGAGCCAAAGGCTCTTAGACTCTTTGTTTTGTTGCTTACCTGCAGCAGCTTCCACAAATCTTGATCGAGCCTCCGCCGTTGATGGTATGATATTTTAATTTCGGTTTCTCCGGAGTGTGTTTGAACGATACGACAAGACCAACAAATTGGTCGCTTAATGGCCGTATCACCTTGCCCAGAGATCATATGATAAATAGGTGTAGGAGGAAGTGAAAGCAGATTGATGAAGTGTCAAAGAAAGAGGTTGTTGCTTGTATGATTTCATCCTGCCTTGCTCCAGTAAGTCAATCAATTCGTCTGAGCAATAGCAGCTTTAAAGAGATTGTGCTCCAGAGAGCTTCATTTTCTCTCTCTTCTTACTACGCAGACTCCTACTACTGCGTTATTCAACACTGGATTTAGCCAAAATGCTCCGTAGCTACGTTCCAGATAAATTCTATTTAGCATTCCGTGATAACGTTAAACCTCAGTTGCCCACTTTACCGAGTTAGCTATTCACTCCGAGTCCTGCTGAGTTAGGACTTGCTTTGAACAGTCAACTAACAGCTGAAGTAAGAAGGCTGGACGTTATACCAAAGATAACTGTGCTGAATGCGGATTATACTTTCAGATTACGATGAAACTGCATTTATAACAAAACTTTAACATCGTAAATTGTGTGACGGATATATCACAAAGATATCTCAAGATGGCACTAGTAATTGAGGGCTGTTTCCCTCTCTGTCGAGCGATTAATTAGACTGCTCCACAAGCATTGATTGGGCTTCAGTTCCCTAGCGAAAGCTCGATGTATGGTTCCCGAATGCACACTGATTCTATACCATGGCTGTATGAGAAGAAGTATTTCCATCTGTGCCTGTCATAATTCTGTAGTTAGTACTGGGTCATTCCTACGAGTCCTAGCATCTTCGTGGGCAACCTCAAAAAAGATGCCAAGGACTTACGGAGATTGATTAGGGTTCAAGCCCTCTGCTAGCGCCAAGCTCGAATGACTACAACCAATGTCGTGCGCGAACGTAATCTTATCTGATCCATCCGATAATCTCGCGCCCCGTCCTGTCCCGATTCGGCAGTTGGCAAACCCGCTTTCGGGCTGCAGAATCCCCAAATTCTGCGTCACCAAACTGACTCAGACTTCCCCCCGTGGTTCCTGGGCGCCTTTTGCATTCCCTTTTCTCCTTTTTCACAGAAAGGATGGCTCAGTCCACCTTAACTTTTCTTGATCGATGACCTGTGCGAGTCGTGGCTCAACCATTCTGCTTGCTTCAACCCGCATCTCCCGCACATCATGTACGATGAGCCGAGTGACATCGTGCGGCTGGTCTCGACGGTCATGTTTGCCCCTTCGCAAGGTAATGAGATTCTCCTCCACCATACACGTTCAAAATGCCAACTCCGTTGCTAATTTCTCTATTTGTTTTGCACCCCACAGTGTGAGCGAATCGGAGCACATCCCTGTTCTTGCTATCATCGTATTACAAAATGCTGTTTTTCAACTTCTCCAGGACTTTTTTCGTCCACCCCCCCGGTCCGGCGACAGGATGGTGTTATACCTTCGGAACCAAATGAATATCGTAAACAACAGGGACGCACAGCGCATGAAAAATTAGCGGATAAGGTCTGCCATTACCATTGCCAACTGCCCATTGGGCAACCCTAACGAATTACTAATTTATTTTTTTGTGGGCAGGATTTCTTTTTCAGCCTGCTCAGCTCAGCATCAACAAAACGAGAAGCCCAATCATATCTCTCCCGCTTCAAAGCCGAAAAACCAGAGCCTGCGAAGTCCCCACCAGAGCAGAGTGCTATGGGCTATCCCTCCACCAATTTTGTCCAATCAGGGGTGAACTTAGGGGGAGGGATGTTTGGCATGGCGGGAGTTATTGATAATCATGCGATGTTTCGACAAGAATCTGCATTGGGGAAATCACTGCCAATAGAAACGGTGTCAGAGGAAACATTACACATCGCTCTGGTAAAAATTCGTGAGCCGCAATTGCTAAACGACCAGACACTTGGAGAGGTTGGACGGACACTGTCACAGCTTTCCTTACTTGGGATGTCCTGCTGTGTTGTGATTGACCCCGGCCTCCCTCAAAGCGACACATTTTGGAGAAACCGGTCAATCAAACAGGCTGACCGTATGTTAGCAGCGATTGAGAAAAACGGCGTGGACTCTAGGCGACTGGACGATGTGATACGCCTGGCACCTTCTCCTAAACATGCGCTTTCAGTAGTGTCTAGAGAGTTAATTCTTTCTCCCCTCCGTCGGGGAAAAATTGCTGTGATTCCTCCCATTGGCTACACGGAAGGCACTCTTCGAGCGGTACCCGTTCTTGCAGATGACGTTGTGTTGGCATTAACCAGGGAGTTCACGGGGTTGGGTGTCAAAGCGCGCCCTGAGGACAATCCTCATGAACTGGCCCGGAGGATATCCAAGCTCCAAAAGGAAGTCTCTGTGGACAGGCTTATTATTTTGGATCCTGCTGGGGGCATTCCGTCCCTGAAAAGAGCTTCAAAATCACACGTTTTCGTGAACTTGGAACAGGAATTTGAGGAGATCACTAACGAACTAAGAGAAGGAATGGCCGCTGGTGATTCACTAGTTACGGGCGATAAAAATGAAAATGGGCAGCAAATACTTTCCCTGGAAAAATCTAATCCCCTTTCCACAGTTGTAGAGAGGGAAGGTGCTGCATCGTTACCTAGTGAACTACAGGTTACCTCAAGTGATCGAAGTAGTGTTCACATTCCTGATTTTGAGAGACATCTGGACAATTTAACACTGTTACATAACGCACTTACGTACCTTCCACCAGCATCCTCCGGCATTATCTCTATACCCCAAGATGCAACGAATTCGGCAAGCGAACCGCGAGACCCCTCACAGTTATCCACCGTTGCGACCAGACGAAAGCGGAACCCTTTAATCCACAATTTATTGACGGATAAACCCAGCCATTCCGCTTCCCTACCTGCGGGGAGACTACGCGCCAACAACGGCTGTTCATCACAAAATAATTTCCAAGTGATGCATTCGACGTTTGTTAAGAAGGGGATGCCCCTGACGTTGTTTCCCGACCCACGAGTGCATATTTGGAAACCTCCAATAAATGGAAAATCCCGGATGACACTTAATGATCCACATATCGATCTACCTCGCCTCGTCCAACTAATTGAAGACTCTTTCAATAGAAAACTGGATGTCCAGCACTATCTCAACCGCGTCAGTGACCGTTTAGCCGGTTTGATTATTGCAGGCGAGTACGAAGGCGGGGCCGTTTTAACCTGGGAACTACCGCCAGGTGTGCCCAACGATGGAAGTGAGGAGAGTCGATCACGAATGGTTCCCTATCTTGATAAGTTTACCGTTCTAAAGCGGAGCCAGGGGGCGGGCGGCGTGGCGGACATTGTATTTAATGCGATGGTTCGTACGTGTCTGCCCAAGGGTGTGTGCTGGCGCAGCCGTCGCGATAACCCAGTGAATAAGTGGTATTTTGAGCGGGCTCGAGGGACGTGGAAGCTTCCCGGGTCGAATTGGACAATGTTCTGGACAACTGATGGAGTGCTGGAGGGCGATAGGCTATTTCGGGATTATGAGGGCGTTTGTCGTGGAATTGAGCCCAGCTGGCTAGACAATAAACATGTGGTTGATTAAGCATATATCTAGGCTTTTATGTATGTTGTCATGGGGTGGCATTTCCGGGTAAATTCATTACACGCCGTTGCAAATTATGTTTATATACATATAAAAACCTCGGTTAGATACTCTTTTGTGCTCTTATGTTTAGAACAATAAGTTAAAACTACTCCGTAAACAGTATATCATTCCGGGCACACTAGGGCGAGTGAGAATACGCTTTCATGGGTATGTGTATATATTCCTATTGCCTCACTCATTCTGTTGTGCACGGACCAACCATATCTTTCAACTCCGCCTGAACGAAATAACAACAGCAGCCTTTGGAAATATTTAACCACCAGAGCGTATATCGACTGACCTGTTTTCAACGAATATGACACTCAGACCTCCACAATGCCAATATGTATCGAATGCTGTTGTCCCGTTTCCCATCTCTACACCTCCTACAGCAAGGCCGATGACCGCTCTCTGGGCAAGGGCGTGCGATTAACCCAGTGTCCGCGTTGCAAACGGTTCGCGGACAAGTATGTCGAACACGATTTTGTGGTGCTTTTCATTGATCTAGTCTTGATAAAGCCTCAGGTAAAATATACTCCCCATGTGAGATGTTTCCGCTATTGCGACGCTGGGCTGATTTTATTTGTGCGACTGTGCAGGTGTATCGTCATCTGCTCTTCAACCGCCTAGGGAGATCTGATGATAAGTTCGATGTATACCATCCAATACTCCGTTCTCCCGCCTCTCTCCCCGGCTTCTGCGTCTTGCATTCCTTTAATTTATTGAGCGGGTAATAATCTTTCTCTCCAGCGTTCTATAATACGCCTCGGAACGTTAATATTGCTCTTTGACGTCTATTTGTCCTGGGCACGGGCGGAGAAATCTGACTCACTCTCCGCAACACCCCTTGCTACAGCCCCAATTGTCGTCCAATACATATTCTTCCTTACGCTAAACACACTCGCAACAATTGCTCACCACCTCACTGTCCGTCTCCTTGCTTCATTCCTCGTCCCACATCCACAACCCACCACGACTTCGACGAATGACGCCCATAACGGTGATATAATCCCATCTAGTCCTACCTCCACTCCGATCCCCCCTCTCAACCCTTCGAACCTGCAATCCCAACCTCAGAACCAAACACCTGCCACCAACACAACATCTAACAATGGAGGCCTTCCACCTCAGTCGCCCTCTGTTCATCCAAATCATTTTCCCTCAAATAATCTTCCTGCGCCACCCCCTCTCATCCGTCGATTGTCCACATCACCTCTTCAGGTCAATCCCATGCCTCCTCCTTGCCCTGCAAGTCCAAACTCTATAAGCACTGCGCTTCTCGTTAGCAGCTGCACAAAGCTCTTCCCTCTCCTGCTCGTGATCTGGAATCCTGAAAAAAACGACACTAACAGTGGCGGTGCCGGCACATCCCCTTCAGTATCGGACGCAGCGACTGGAATACTCACGAACTCATTAACATCTACATTCATGAATCACAACTCTCCTTCCTCTTCCCCTATATCTAGTACATCGCAGCACCAGCAGTTGCTGCAACTTGCACCGTCGTCCCCTCCATCACATGTATCATCTCCAACATCTCCCCCGCTATCACCTACTTCCTCCTTCCTCAACCCGCTCATCTCTCTCGTACTTTCGATAACAAATACCCACCTCGTCCTATTGAATAATACCGAGGCGCTTTTCATACTTCTTGATTGTGGATATATACGAGCAGCGGTACTGGCACTGAGTGGTCATCTGGCGAGGTGGATGGTGGAAAAGATTCTGTTGGGAGCTTTGGGTTTGTGATTGATACGGTTATTGGTTATGAAGAGAGGTTGGCTTGGCTTAGTATCTACTGTACAAACTTTTTTAGTGATATGTATTTACCGGGTGTATGTATATATTTTGGATTAGAATATGGCGTTTTGGGTTTGGGGTTTTTTTCGTCTTTTGCTTTCCGGATTGAGGGTCTCGGAGATGGACGAAGAGTTGTACACTATCAGCTACTTTTCTTACTGACTTTATTTATATCTCGCCATTGGCTAACCCCCTAATGTTTGGACATTAATTGAATAGAAACCACCGTATATCTTTACCATTCAGTTCCTTTTTTTTCCCTTTAATTAATTTAATTAATTTTTGTTTCGAGAATGATAAACATCTAGGACATCCAGTACAATGCACGCCGATGACCTAAAAAAGAAATGTTTCGCCCGTTAACCCAGCTAGAGAAAAATATGAAAAGATAAGATAGATCCACGAAGAAAAACACCAATGAGTCGTGAGAGCAACAACAATATAAAATTATAACCAGAGGAACCGACAGCTTCCACAATCCGTGTTCTCTTTCTTCCCTCCCTTAGTGCGGTACCCTATCAGGGCGTAAATCGCTTCTTTTCGGTGCAATTAATGGATGTAATTGGGCGAGGAACGTTATTGCTACATGAAGAGGAATAGTTAGAATGTGTTCCGCGATTGTAATTGAAGACGACGAATGTGCGGTATCAGTGTGGATTTAGCAGTGCAGATGCATGGATGATGTATTTACGTACCCCACATTAGATAGCAGGCTGTGAACGCGAGTATTAACGAGCTGCGCCATATCCTGTGATAGCCGTCAGCCTTTTCTCCTCAGTGCACAGAAAGTTTGTCCGATACGGTGCTTATGGGACATTTGGCAGGGGGATCTCTAGTAGACGGAGTGGGATCTGTGGTATCTCCGCCAGTAATGTCAA